AACCAACGCTCCTTCTAGGTTGCCCTGTTCGCTCCACTCTTAAGCTCCAGAATTGGTGGCTGAAAAAGTATGCAAATATTCTTTCCGGTCTATTGGTTTTTTAACACACACACACACACACCCCTACATTCCTGAGACAAAGACAAGGGGTGGTTTGCATAAGATCTCACCTGCAAAACCCGCCTGTGGGGTGCGGAAGGGGGTGGAAATCCATGGCTGCCTTCCCAGAACACACTGAATTTTCATCTTTTCCTCACTCTCCCTCTACAGAGAGAGGTAAACCTACCAAAATTTCTAAGTTCATACTAAATATTACCCCGCCACAAAAAAATACCACAAACCAAACCTAATTCAGCCTGTGATCAAATCCATAAGTCACCTGAATCCATGTATTGCATGAACGATTCCTATTCAGTTGGTGTTTTTAAGCTTCCTGAACAAGAATATGCTGACATCTGTAATGGACCTGCCTATTTCCCCGGAAATCCCAGACCAGAATCATGAATGTCAGCTTTATACTTTGAAGACCCTTTTTCTCTAATCCCCAGCTCTGTGAAGACCCCACAGCCCCACCACCTGGCAGGCTGGGGATCAGCCTCTTTTGGCCATCACTTTCTGATTCTCTTCAAAAGGGAGTCAGAGAGAACTTCTTGAAAGAAACAACTATGGCTGCATCTCCAGGAGTTTCATTCATTGATCATGTGGTGTTGAGTCTGTGTTGACTCTCAGTGACCATAGGAACAGACCTTCTCCAGAATGATCTGTCCCCACCCTATTTCCCAACTGGAAAAACTCAGAATTGCCTCTTTGTAGTAAGCTTTACCTTAGAAAATATAAAAGCCTATCAATGACACCTAGTGGCCAGAGACGTACAAATAAGATACCCTTTCATGCTCATCTGTGAAATAGCAAGGAGAATCCAATTCACACACTCTCCCCCTGGAGATTTTCCCTGTGTTTGGCTACAGCTAATCTATATGAATTTCCAGCTGCCAATAGATTTATTCCAACTTTCTTTAAAGATTTCTCACTTTCTTTACGTAAAATGAGAAAAGTTAATGCTAACCCATGCCTGCTGCTTTATAGGTGTCTCTTTTCCAACCCTGAATCCCACATATTGTCCGGTGTTAAATGTCGCAATTCATGGATGTTTCTTCACAGAT